AGTCTTATGAGGAGTGTCTGAGGGAACTAGGGTTGTTTAGCCTGGAGAAAAGGAGGCTGAGGGGAGACCTTATCGCTCTCTACAACTACCTGAAAGGAGCTTGTAGCGAGGTGCAGGTCAGTCTCTTCTCCCAAGTAGCAAGGAAACGTCCTCAGGTTGCGCCAGGGGAGGGTTAGATTGGATATCAGAAGAATGCCTTTACCAAAAGGATTGTCAGGCATTGGAGCAGGCTGCCCAGGGAAGTGGTTGGGTCACCATCCCTGGAGGTATTTAAAAGACGGGTAGCATGGTTAAGTGGTGGCTTTGGCAGTGTTAGATTAATGGTTGGACACAATGATCTTAAAAGGCCCCTTCCAACCTCAACGATTCTATGAGCCAGGCTGTTTGTTTTCTGTCCTTGTCAATGGTAGTAGGCAGAACCAAATAGCTGCCCCCCCTGCATTTAACACTAGAATTTCTTAGTATCACTAATCAGTATGTTTAGGATACACATGTGACAAGCTCAGTATTGTTTGTTCACCAAACCTAAAAACTCTCATTGTTACAGTGTTTCATGAAAGGCAGCTGCTTGGCAGGATGGGGCAAGATAGCCAACATCTGCTAAGCAAACAAGGCCAGGCTGCAAGGTTGAGTTATGCTAACATCATAAATTGCGAAAAGGCTTGGGAGGAAAGGAAAGGGGGAGGCTCAGTCAAGTCCTGCTAACATCATAAATTGTGATAAGACTTGGGAGGCTCAGGAAGACATGGAGCCTTCATCCCTGCGACCACCAAAAAGCAAAGGAAGAAAGAGGACGACCCCCTAGCAACAAACCGCGCAGACGCAGAGTACACCACTAAGAGAAACGCCTACACCAGAAGTAGAAGAGTATAAAACCAAAGACTTTTGTAACCTAGGTGCGCGCCGTCCGCGGAGTGAGACTCCCGGGCCGCCCAGCGCTGTTTTGCTTGCTGCCGCTTGCTAATAAATCCTTCAAATTTAATTGGCTCTGTCTCCTCGCCTCACTTTGTGAGACTAACTTATGACACACAGACACAAACCCCTCCCTCCGTGCTTGGCATGGGTAATAATATTTGTGCTGTGTTTGTCTCGAACTTGTGTGAACATAAAGGTTGCAGTGAGAAATGGGTGTGATTTTTATGGTAGTTAATTTCCTGTCCAAGTGCACTACAGAGGAGGCACTCTGGACGAGGGGAGCCATGTTTGCCCCCAGTTCCTGAGGTGTTAAGGAGTTTAGGAAAGTAGCTTCTATTGTAAAAATATTCTTGTCATCCTGTAAATGAAAATGCTGTTTATTTTGTATTCTGTGTTACTTCTTGCTCAAGGAAAAATCGTCAAAGTTCTCAACAGTTTGGTTTTGTGTGATGGTTGTTTTTTTTATTTTTAAATGGTGGGACTTTTTTCTATAAGTAAATTGTTAATATTAACTTATGGTGAAATTCTAAACAAAGGCCGCCTTAGTCCATATTCTTCCTTTGTGCCTGAGGAGCCCTTGCATTGGGCTATGAACATGAGAAGTACAAACAAAACTCATTTTTTGAATTGAAGACAGATGTAAAAACTTTCTCATAGTCATCAGAAGTAGCTGCTATTGCTGCATGAGCCAAGCAGCATGGCTTGCTCTGCATGGATCTTCTTATCATTCCTCTAGTCTAAGGGATTTCTCAGTGGCTTTTCTGTTGCTTTGGGAGTTTCCTGGATGTGCCAAAAATAGGACCTATTGCATCCCTTTTTTAAAAAAGAGAACAGTCTCTTCTTGCTTTTCCTGGAGGCTTTAAGCAGCTGGTTCTGCTACAGAGCGTTCAGAACAACTCCCTAAGATTTCCTCCTGTACTATTCCAGAAGTCTTCAGGTTTTCTTGTTTAATTGAGATTGGGAGATCCTGTTCTGCAGCCAGCAGAGCTTTGGGACCGGGTGTGTGCGGAGGACCAGTGTAGAAGCTAGGATTCTGCATACCTGTGCATACTGTGATTCAGTCTGCCCTTGTTCAACCTTTATCTCACCTGCAGTGCTTTTTCAGATACTTCTAAATGACTGTTAGGAATCCATGATTAATTGAGTCTCCTCTTGTAACTTTGTGTGTGTGTGAAGGCAGATTATTACCTTACATTACATTACATAAATTGGCATGCCGCTGCTACTCAGAGCATCTGAGTCCAGGTGCTGTAGACTTACCCAGGAAATGAAATTCCATATTCCAAACAATGTACAGTTGGAAGGGAGAGATGATGGTAACTGGGCAACTGGAAAGGCTAATTGTGGCAGCAAGTGTCTTAATATCCTCCTTAAAAAAAAAATAAAATAATAACTAGCTCTGTTGTCTTTTTCTCTCTATAAAACTTTGATTCTGCAGTAGTTGATTAGGGTAGGAGATCAGGAATAAAAATACAAACTCTTTACTGTTGTTCACTTAACTAAATCAGCAAGATTTCACGCCCTCTTTTTGTTTATATGCTTGCGTTATTGCTGTTATGTGTGTTGTTTCCTATGTGTAAATGTTCTCATGTTAATGTTTTATGAAGATAAAACAATCTGTCATGTCTCTATGAGAAAATCAAGACTCTGAAAGTTAGACGGATTTGCTCAAGTGCATGAAGTAAATCAGTAGCAAATTTGACTTGGCATGCAAGTTTTTAGCCTTGCGAATATCTGTTGTAAACACCAGAGACTCATCCTCTGCCAGCCTTCCCCCCCCCGAATCCCTGCCTTCCCAGCCTCCCTGCTTCTCTATCCAAGTTCAAAGCACTGCCACCTATCCCAGTCTCATGTCACTGAACACCTGGGAATGGGGGGAAGAGAGAGAAGCACATACCATAATCCATCCTGAAGATGTGCTTCTTCATTCTCCTGTGGGAACCTGTGACACACAGAGGCTGCATTGTAGCTTTTGCATCTTCAGAATCCCTGCTTACCACATAGGGCTTACTTGTTTTCACAGTGCTCTGCCAGGTCAGGTTTCTGTCTGACAAAACCTCAGACTTGCAAATACAATGCTTAAAGTGCAGAGGTCACATTGAGATTATGAAAGACTTTGATTTTGGACCTACCAAGATCACGCTCCTTCAGTCATTGGAAATTCAAGCCAAAACTTTGTTCACTTTTGGGATCCTGGAGATGATATGTAGGTGGGGAAAAAGGTCAGTGTAGTATTCGTGGCCCAGTTTGTTGAAGGAACCCTGAGAGGGAGCTTTGCACCCTGCCTCTATGAGGTGAATAAATTGTTGGCTACCACAGCAGCAGGAGGATCACAGTGCCATCCATAGCAGTGGGGATGTTCTGCTGCACTGCAGATGGCAGCCAAACTTCTAGTGACTTTTAGCAGAGTCAGGACTTTGCCCTAAAAGCAGAGGGGGTACGGGAGGTAAGACAGATGGGTGAACTGGAGCACCCAGAATAATCCTGTGTCATCCTGTGTCTGTAGTGAGGCTCATTTGAAAGCCAGGGAACTTTTTCAGTGTTCTGAGCATCAATTCATTTTTAAGCAGTATCGCTGCCTTCTAGTTCTTGCATATTTTGCTGTGTTCCTTAATGCTTCGTTTTGCAATTCAATTTCTTTTATAAAAATTGCGATTTTTATAAACTGAGGGGAGAAAACCTTGTTCACTTAAGAGCAGAAGTTACCATATATAATATGGAGCATGGGCTGTCAGCATATGGGCTAACAGAAAGGTGTTTGTTAGCAACTGTCATGTTTTCTTTCTGACTTCTAGAAGTGACCATCACAAACCAAACTTACCTTAATGTTGCTTTTTGATTCTTTCCCATTAGGCAGTTTGACAGGTTTGGGCTGGTTTTTGTTTTAACATTCCCTTCCTTTCTGTTCACACAGAAATATATGCTCCTTTCGAAGGTTTTGTTGATCATAAAAATATCAGGATTGCTCAATGTTTTTTCCTGTGTCTTTCCGCTCCATGAGAGATGTCATGGGAACTACGTCACAAGGCATTGGGATGAATGGGGGGAAATCTGGACTCTTTAACAAATTCAGTTTGCTTTTAGAATGTGGTTAGTTCAGTAGGTTGCTAATAGAAATGTTAAACACAGTTTTAAATGGTATGAGTGGAAAAATCAGTCATCAGCTGTATGAAGCCAACACCTCATTGTGTTGTCCTGTTATCTTACTTTTGAATCTTCCTGAATAAACAGAGGAAGTTCTGAATTTCTCACAAAGGGGGGAAAAAAAATAATCCTCTGCCCCCTGCTTAAAAACTTTTCATAACTCTTTGCCTCCAGAGCTCTGGCTGTTATATCATATTAAAAACAAAAAGAAAAAAAAAATTGCCATTGATATTTAACACTACAGGTTGAACACAGAGTGAAAAATATTACTGATAGTTTCTTGGCTTAATGTGATTAATGGTCTTAGTCCTTAAAAAGGCAGAATCATCTCTGGCTTACATGGACAGACTCCTTTGGTCTTGAGAGTTGACAGTGCGGTTAAAGGTGTTTGTCAAAAAAAAAGAAAAAAGATTTGATTGTGTATATGGATTTGGTGGTGGTGGTTTTGTGTGGTTTTTTTTTTTTTTTTACGATTTTACAGTCTCGTGAGAACATACTGGCCGTGTACAGGGTGGTGTGGCTGTAGGCTGTCTGGGTGATACAGGGTTTGGAGTACATTTAAGTTGGTGTTGCTGCAGGACAAGAACAGCTCCTCTCTATGCTGTCCGTTTGTGCTGTTCTTTACAAATGGAACTTCAGAGATGATCTGGCTGAAAATGAACTCGGTTGAAGGAGAAAAGTTATTGAGACAGATTATTTTCTCAGTCCTATTGATCATACAGCTACATAATGGCTGTGCTGGTACAGCATAGAAGTGCTGTCTGGATGTTGGGGCTAAATGGCCAGAGGATTTGAACTGCTTTTTTCCTGGCAGTTCAGGGCAGGCTTAAATGCAAGTTGGCCCTGTCTTTAAGCAAAGCCCAGAGATCAAAAATAATCAGTATCCTACAGGACACAGTGATCCTCTTCACCATTGCCAAAATGGGGATTCCCAGTTCTACCCCTCCTCCTCACGCTGCCATGTGTTGGCGTTCACTGGATTTAGCTCATTGCATTAATGGCAATGTAATTTATCAAAAAACCCTATAAAGTTAATGAATGGTGTTGGCTCAGTCCGGGGAGCAGGACCCTGAGACTTCAAAAAGGAGTGCAGAAGCAGGTGGAGGGGCCCCCATGAGTGGGCTCAGGTGTTTGCTTAATTGCCCTGAGTTAATCAATTGCCTGGGGCAGGGGACACAAGACTTTTAGAATAGGAGTTCTCACATTGCACCCTGCTCCTACATGTGACCTGAAGAAGGGCCTCATTGGCTATGTTCTTGACAGGAGAACTAGCTGAATCTAGGTTTCCTCTAAGTGCAGGCGGTAATAGTCATCTATATAAACTCTTCTGAAGCTGGAGTTAAGTGATTAGGTTATCCTAAGTTTGTATATGCAGAACATGTCATGCTATAACTACAGAACACACAAGTATGATTTTATGTGCTCTCGCCTCACAGCAAAGGAAGATATGGAAACCATAGTCCTGCAGTAACCCCTCCTCTGTATGGTGAATTCCCGGATGTACTGCTCTGTTAGTGAACTTTGACTTCTGCATATCAGATGAAGTTTCCCTGCTCTAAAACAGCATGTAAGAAAGTCTCGTAAGGCATGGATCAGTCTTTCTTTGCCTCCTAGAGGATGTCTTGTACTTCCATAGTCTTTCACAGTGAGAGGAGTTAAATCAATGATCAGAATAACTGTGACTGAATAATCATTAATAAAGTGATAATGCTGCTCAGAGGTAATTTTTGGGGACTGAGGCTTGGGATGTAGGAGGACTCTACAAAGCTAAAATCCTTGGGTTGTAAGGTTGCATTACTATCCGAGTGATAGGAACGATGGAAGTGAATTCAGGTTTGTGCTAGGCAGGTGGTAAGAAGCAGCATGACAAACTGTGTGTGGTTTGCTTAGCAGAAGTGAAAAAGCTCTACTTAATCCAGGGTGATGATGACAGCTGTGAGTAGGTGAAGTTTGCTAATAATGTGTATATCTAGGCTGTTACATCAGAAATTTCCCCCTGCTGTTAATGAAGCACAACGTAACCAAGTATGAGAGGTGCGAGTGCAGGTTGACCGATGTGTTAGCCACTGTACCACAGTACTTAAAAGGCAGAGATGCTACATTAGCTAAAATACCAGTAACTTTGTGAAGCTTTTTCTTTTGCTGCTACCTTTAGCATGGCCCTCATGACACTGTACACATACCTTTTTCCTGGTGTATGAACAGGCAGACTTGCTAGAGATGGAATATTTTTGGTGATGTTTGTTTAGCATGAAATGAATAGACTTACCTAGAACTAACCTAAGGCAATGCTTTGGCAAACAGAAAACACCCAAGTCAAGAAGGTGCCACAAAAATAAGAGCTCACACGTTTACATTCTGAGAGAGGAGGATCCTTTCCAACTTGGAAATATAGCACAGTGGATAATTCTAATATGAAGTTTATTTAGAGGCATCACCTCAAAGTTGCTTTTATATCAAAAATTGTAACACTTAAGAAAATGTGCCAGACCTGCACAATCAGTATCCATGTTGAGATGCGTATTGCACTGGACTCAGAGCTTCCAGTTTGGATCTTTGAAGAAACAGGCCTGAGCTGCAAAACTTTGGATGGGACAGATTCTGTCCTTAATTCAAAGGCAAAGACACCAGGATTTCAGGTGCATTGTTGTGAACCAGATCCTCCTGGCTCACAGGAGAGTCAGAGGTGGGTAGAGATCTGGAAACAAGTTGTGAAGCCCAACGTAGTCACTCGCTCCCTCCCCCTCAGCAGGATGGGGTAGAGAATTAGGAGGTCAGAAGCATGAAGAACTCGTGGGTTGAGATAAAGATGATTTAATAAGTGAAGGGGGGGGGAAACAAAGTCAGGGGGAGAACCAAGTGATGTAAAAGCATTCACCCCTTTCCCACGAGCAGACTTCTTTGAGCAATGGCTACTTTGGAAAGACACCCCGCCCCCTCTTTTTTATTGCTGACCATGACATATGGTAGGGAATATCTCTTTGATCAGTTGGGGTCAACTGTCATGGCTGTGTCTCCTCCCAATGTCTTGCCCATCCCCAGCCTACTTCTAGGACTGGGCAGAGTGAGAAAGAGAGAAGGTCTTGATGCTGTGCGAGCAGTGTTCAGTAATAGCTAAAACATTGGTGTGTTATCAACACTGTTTTGGTCACGGATCTAAAACACAGCACCATATGGGCTGCTATGAAGAAAATTAACTCCATCCCAAGCAGACCTAGTACACAAGTGCACGGTAGCAGTGACCATGGCAAGCAGTAGGAAGAGTAAGACTGGGCAGGTAATAATCATAGGACAAGGGGATTGGAAGAGGCTTGGGCAGGAAGCAGGGTGGAGGGAGCTAGAGAGATCTGCAAGATTCAGCAAATGGGAGAGGGACGTAGGTGGAAACAGGGCAGAGGAACTGAAAATTCTGGCTATTGTAAAAAAAAAAAAAAAAAAAGAAAAAAATTATTTGGAACTAAACTTACAAAAGTTGCCGGAGATTCGCACCTTCCCCTCATTTCTGGTGTCAAAGTCAGCTGGTGTCTGACTCTGGTGGCACCTTGTTCCTGCGGAACTGATGTTTTGGTCCTCTGTTTTCCCTATTCCTCGACTTCTTTCCCTGGAAGTATCCAGGATTGCCTAGTCCTTGACATATCCAAGCTTTTCTGTGTCTTGCTTGTACCTAATCCCTGTTGGAATCCACCCAGTCCTTCTGTGAGTCACATACCAAGACTTTGAAAACCCTACGGTAGGCTTCCCTGAGCTGTGCAGTGGAGCGCGTTCTTTCTTCCTCCGCTTCAGGCTGTGCTAGTGTGCACAAGGGAATTCTAGTGCAGCCGGACCCAAGAGGGTCTTGTCTGGTCACTAGTGGTCAGGACACTAGTGAGAAGGTTTTAGGCTCTTCGGTGGATTGTGCATTTTATCTCTTTAATGTTGAACATGTTGACTAGTGAGTTACTGGAAAAAGGGAAGTGGTGTCTCCATCTGACCGCATTTTGGAAGGCTTTACCTCTGTCCTAGGAAGATTCAGGGCTGTGAACCCAGAGTGGAAAGAGGCAAGCGACCTCAGTGAAGGGGTTG